GAAATCAATTGGATGTGAGTCACAAAGAAGACTGGATTACACATTACAATAACCATCATATTCATCATTTATAAATGGTAAAGAGAGGATTTATTAATGATTTATAAATAGTTTAATAAGTTTGATTAATTTATAATATGCAAATAAACCAAATAGATAATTTATTAAGGTATTAAGCCCACTGATGTTAAGATAAGGGTAATTCCAGCATTACAAGGCAAGCTAAATGAAAAATAAATACTAGGTTCAGGTCGTAAGGTTAGGGCTAAACTAACATGGCAGGGCAATGTGATGAATTTGCATATAATAAATGTTTAAAATGCGGTTTATAAATTAATATCAAACATTAATAAACTATCTGTTAATCATTAATAAATGGCCCCTTTACCATTTATAAATGATTGCTATTGTTAAGTGGTACTGAACACTGAATGCTGAAAATGAAATTACAAGTGCTTCAACAAAGTATTATTTAAAGTATGTGGACACACTTAAGGGTTGTATCTGATTAATTTGCCACATGAAAGGCTAAAATAACTCTGGAATCGTTTAGCAAAGCTTCGTTTTTATTACAGTACAGAGCTGACATTTTAATCGTTTTTTACTTCTAAGAGCCAATTTCCTCTCAAAATGCCTCCAAATTCTCTTACACCAACAGCAGAACAGTTGTATCACGGCATAACTGACTGTTTTAACAGGATGCACACTTAAACTGGTTTGAGAAAGGATAAAGCAGACTTATATTAAGCGTCCGGAAAGCTCCGACCTCCAATATACTGAGAATTTAAGGACTAAAAGGATTTAAAGTCTAAAATCCATATGAGGGCCAGGAAATCAACCCATTTAAATGGATTTGAAAAAGAGAAGCTTTTTGTAGCTGTCACCCAGAATTACGAGGGCTTATGGCTATAAAAAGAGTATGTGGTTTTTAGTACCAGCTTTGGGGCATTATTTGAACTTTGATTGTATCAAGCAAAAACGGCAGTTTCAAATATCTGTATTCAGTTATTATTTTTTGAAATCACTTCTCTGTTAGATAATTTAATCTTAAAATAAATAGTGGATTAAATAAATCATTAAAATATTAGAACAAGATCATTCATGCCCATTATGAATGAATATTAGCCTTTGGAACTGTATTTGCATATTTTAGGACTTGCACATTTTTATCTACAATCACTGGTAAATGATGAAAATCAGAAAATGACAGCAAGAAATTATAGTTTTATTTTTGCTTGCTGCAGCAGAAAACACCATGAGTGTGGCTGATGCTTCTCGGTGCAGATTAAGACAAAAACTGGGCCACTTGCATAGCAGAGAAAAAATGTCTTGCAGAAATCTGAAGCAAGTTTCGTGTACAATTTTGAGTGTCCTCTTTATATCCACAGTAATGGAGTAGGCTGAGCCAAAGAAACAGGTCGTCCTTTATTCTTCTTTATCTCATGCAACCAGTTTTAATAAGGCTTTGTATATTAAACAGCCCTACATTTTCATTTCTGCATTTAAGACAACTGAATGTCTAGGATGGAATTTCTAAATTTTTACTTCCTAAAACAAACTTTGAAACTGCAGGCCATCTCAGGATTGACTTACTGACAGCTGATATTTGGAAATTGTGCAGCAGACTGTTCCTTCCAGCTGGAGATGTATTTCTGTCTGTTCCGATCTGTAACCATTATTCAACACCAAATCTGCTTAGGTAAGAGGACACAGAGATCTCACCCGCCCTGAAGAATTGGCCTGGACAGCCAAACTAGCAGACAGTATAGGGCTGGAACTAAGTGTTTCATCAGCAGTTCTGAGTGGCTGTAAAATACAAAAATGGCTTGAACTCAGTGAGAAAGCAATCACTTTTTTTTTCACTTAAGATCCTATTTAATGTCTAATGCATACTGATGTGGGTTTGACAAGCCCAGTATTTTCTGTGCCAACCACTCTGTCTATCTGTCTAAGATGATCCGTCAACAAACAGCTATGCGGAAACTACATACCTGATTGTGCTAAGTTCTTAAAATCCAATTAGAAAGCAGAATCATGATCCTATTAATCATACATTCAAATTAGACCTAAAAACATTTATTTTTTTTATATATTTCTTCAAGGTCTTTTTATTTAAAACTAGACACATGTCTCAAAATAAAGTCATTTTTCTTGCTCTACACACAAACCACTGTTTTTGTCTGGGAAATAGATCTGGAAGTGAATTCCTTAGTGGTTAGAGTCAAAATATTTGCCCACTAGAGAATTTAAAATCTTGGACCTTGGTATTCCTCGGAAAATATCTAAAATACTGACAGTTCAGCAAAGGGATGTTTGTCTGCAACACAGCCTGATATGAGGTGGAGCAACACTTCACACATGCAGAGTTGTTTCATGCCTTTTTTTTATTTGAAAGATTTAGAGAAAAAAAATTGATAGACCTCAATCCAAACACTAAGTTGTCCATTCCGCTGATGGGAACATATTGTACAGGGTTTAAACAAAGTATTCTCCTCATACTAGAGTTATTTTTGCTACAGCCAAGATTTGAATGTGGATTTTATTAAACTTGATCCCCCCTCAGTCTTCCCCCCACGTCGTTTTTCTCCAGTTCCTATGGACTTGACTGTTGCTTCCATGACTATTGCTCTCCTTAATAGACCTATATTCAAATTTGGATAAAATTACATAAAGATTGATTTTTATCTATTAGTCTCAAGGTAATTGCTAAAATATACGATTGTTACACCTTTCAGAATTTGATTTGTAAAAAAACAAACTTCTTTCCTGCGCTATAGAATATGTGCTATTTTGCGAAGAGTGTGCTTGTACAGTAATATAAATAAGAGAGAGACTATTATAGTAATAGACAAAAGCAGCATTCTTTATATAGCAATAGCTTCTGAAATCATGCATGTGGAAAGCAAAGACCAATTTATTCTGTAAATTACCTTTTTATGTGTACAGCTGTAAAACATACTAAGCTCTGAGTTCTGGCTATAAGGGAAACATCTTTTGTAGTATCTATTGTAGTGTATTTGCTCTCATTCAGATTGCTCTCATTTGCTGTTTTTCCATTTCAGGGATTCAGTCAGCTACAACTATGCCAACCTCACAGCTTTTCTTTGCTTGGAGGGAACATTTAGCCTTTTGACACAGACTTTGTTTAACTGCCCCAGGCTTTTGCAGTGAACACAAGTTTAGTCTGGTTCACAAACACTTCCATTGGCATTAGATTATCTAAAAAAATGACCTATTGCCATGGATGTTACCACTAACACCAGCTCACACTGAGGAGGATGTTATTAAGGTTAGAGAAGTGGAAAAAAAATCTATATTCTCAGGGTTGTACATAGTGATATCTTTTTTTCCAGATATTACCTACAGTAGACGGCAACACTTCACAGGCAATACAACCGGCTGCTCATCACTTCAGCTCTTTAGAGCTTCTTGATAAACATTTTATTTATGAATTCACTTCGATCTCAGAGGCTGGTTATTATGGCCTATTCTGTGCATCATAAATAACAATACATTTTCCGGCTGAGGTGAAATTATGAGGATGTGTTTGAACCCTGAAGGCTTTTGGATGGAAACTGCCTCTCATTGCTAAGTCACAAGACCTCTTATCAGAGCCTGTCACAGGGTAATGGCGGAAGGTAATTTCAAATCATTTAAAGTGTGAAGTACTGATTATCTAATCATTATCTGCTGTCAATACATCTCTGCTGATCGGTTCCGTGCCAGTTATTTTCTAAAGAGCTCAACAGGGGGAGGCGCTTCTCAAAAGAATTAATATTTGTTTTAGTAAATTATAGTTGAATATTGAGTAAAGCCAGCCTTTCTGCACATGATAGTATCAGTTTGCTATATTTGGGTCACAATCAACAAAGAGCTGATTTATTTGTCATCTCTCCTTCATCCAACTCCGATACTTCTATTTCTTTAATGAAAGTAGAGCAGTGCAGTTCTAATAATTTAAATGGCAATTATTAAAAAAAAAAAAGTTTCTCCAGTACATTAAAAATCGGAGGAATTGTTAGAATTAAGAGTAATGATTATGTCACTTATGCAGCAATTCAGTTTTTTAAACAATAAGCAAGTTCGAATCATAGAGGTACAAAGTACCTTTTGATATTTAAAGTGAAAATAAAGGCCTATTAAGCTACCAACCCACACAGTGCTTTCCACAAACCATGTTATTTTTCCCATTTTTGAGAAGCATAAGATAGACTTCTATTTCACATGTTAACATCCGTGAAAAAAATGTCACAGCTTTCACAAACTTTCTAAAGTGAATTTAAATAGCTTTTGAAAATAAATTATCGTTTATGTATATGTACATTTACGTTTCGACTCCCTGCCAGAAGAGATGTACTGTACGTTAATGAAAACGTTTAATAACAACTAATCCTGGCATAGTTTCGTTTGGTAGAGGTAATTGCTTAATGCCAGTCTCTGAATAAATCTACTAAATTAGAAGGTTGAATTGTTCAGGTTAAGGCAGACTGCCTTCATAGAATAATAATTCCTTTCCCTTCAAGACCCCCACATACTCTTATTTTAAGACTTTTAGCACATCTTTAAAAGTGCTGAAAAAATGAGAGCACAACCAGTGTTCTTTAAGGTTGTCTTTGTTCATTTACCTCCTTTCTTTAGGGACTCTTACATTAATGAATTACCAACCCCTAACAATGTTGATGCCACCCACCTCCAAATATTTTGTTTCAATGGGTCTTCTTTAGCATTCTTCAAAATAAACAGCAATAAAGCAGAGTTCTCATAGGTACAAAATAAACTTCAGTCAGCTTCTTATCCTTATATATTTAATATTCCAGTTTGTCCTTCGTACTACAAACATCTGAGCTGGTTCAACATCTGCGATTATGACCAAAACCTCCTTTGCTGCTCTAATTACTCAGACTACAGTAAAGCTATCAGCCATTCTGCCCTTTATCTGCTAAATACTCTTTAATCGGACATCTTTGGTATAAAACCGTCCCAAACCACCTTCAAATTCATTTAATGTTTTAGACATATACAGGCTGTGCTTTTACTGAATTTCTATGTTTTTTTTAACTTTATTATTGTTCTTTTTTATTACAGTGATGTCTCTTTACACTTATCTTGGGTTTCTTTAAAACACTTGTAAATAAAACAAATTTTTGTCATACTTCAAAAATGTATGATTAAAAAGGAAGATCACATCTGAAGTTCTCTTTACAAAAATCCCCCTAGGTCATGTAAAAACTAGGCATGGTAATCTTTTCACAATAAATGTATAAACCTAAAGAAAACGGTAGAAAAACATGCAAAAGCCATCACACTTGATGGATCTATTAGATATAAAAAAAATTTTAAAAGTGGTCATTTTAGGACTGAGGTCTGAGGAGGAAAGCCTGGATCAATGCAGCTCCAGCTTCCAGGGTTCCTGTAGGAAAGCTCTCCACTAGTTTTCACATAGCCTGCTGTGTGAGCTGCTGAGGGGAAGCATTACTTCCTCTAAAAGCAAACACAGAAAGGACCAACAACACCAGTCTGTCAGTGAAGACCTCTCTCGGAAGCTTAGGTGAACTAATAATCTGCAGCGGCATCTGTGGCTATTAGCTGTACGTCTCAGTCTGTAGAACTTCCACCTGAGCTTTCCTCGCCTGCTGCCCTCCAGTTTTTCCTTCTCTTTTTCTTGGAGTCCAATCCTGAATCTGAATCCTTGACGCAGTCCCGTTTTCGCTTTTTGCGACCGTTAGTCCTTCCCTCCTTTTTTTCATGGCTACGGCTGTCTCCTGAGTTTCTGTCCTCATCTCTTTGAGTTTTCACACTTTTGTCTTTGCGTTGACTTTTGGTTCTTTTTTTTTTTCTCCGCTTGTCTTTTGTGTCACTTCTCTCGTCTGTACCACTGTCGCTGCTAGAAGACTTTTCTTTTTTTCTCTTTCCATCCTTGGCTTTCTTCTTCTTTTTCTTCTTTCGGGAGGATTTTTTGGATCGTTTTGACAGGCACGCTTCTGTGTCAGACTTGGACTTCTTCACTTTGCGGTGCCCGGTCTTCTTAATGGTAGCACTGCTGTCACTAAAAAAAAGGAAAGTTTATTAAAGCTGTCAAAACACAAAACTAATGAGATCTTCACATTATCTTTTTGTGTAATAATTCCTCATATTTAGTTTAAAGAGAGAATAACAAATATTCTTTTGCACAACTTTTTACTGTAAAATCAGATTTGTTGCTTTGGAAAATTAGTGCAAATTAGTGCAACTTTTGTTTAATGATTGATTTTAAAGGATTAGAAAAGATATAATCTCAACTGCTATGAACATAGCACAACAAACTGGTCATCATACTTGTAAGAAGCTTATTTTTTTTATTCTTAATGGTTTGGTTTGACCGAATATAAAAAAACAGGAAAATCTAAAAAACATTGAAATATAAGACAGCAAAACATTCTTTGTCATATTTTAGAAAGTGTAACTACGTTTTTTGTTATGTAATTTTTGGATACAATCATGGTAAAATTACAGATCATTAAAATACAAAGTCTTAAAATAACAGCAGGCTCTCTTACAATGAATACTGCTGGAGACATGTAGAGATTTTAAAAGAATAAATATCCTCCAAGCAAACCAGGTTCACCTTTTTCTGGCAAAGTAAAGCTTTTCTGCAAGCTGACCAGCTGGGTGCAGCAAGCTGTTATAAGGCTGGGCTAGAAGTGCATCTTTTTAAGCTTAATGCAGCCAAAGCAAACTGATCAATCTTTGTCTTTCTCTGGCGTAATTGTGAAGAACTACAACAGTATACCATGGGTGGTTTACCTTCAACATGAGGGTTTACCTTTATGTTTGTATGGGAGTATGAGCGTAACTGATAACTTTTTATTGATTTTGGTAAACCATGCTTAAACTATTGGGCAAAAAACTTTTTTGTGTCAAAATAAGATAAGAGGGACATACACTTAGATGCTCAAATCGATATATAAGTATTTGAACCCCCTGCTATTTTGTAAGTTTTCCCACTTAGAAATCAGGGATATAATTATAAATAGTTCAAGAATCATACATTGTCATTTCTTTTTTTTAGACCATCTCTTACAGTGGACATGCACCTGCAATGACAATTTTAGACCCTTCCATTATTTCTAAGTAGGAGAACTTGGAAAATAGCAGGGGGTTCAAAAACGTATTTTCCTCAGTGTATGTATGAAAAAATGCAATAGATAAAAATTTGAATTAGCAAGTTAGATTTAATAGAAAACTAGAAGTCAATATAGCCCATAAAAAAACAAAAAACAAACTGATCTTTGCAGCTGTGACCTAATTCTCAAATATTCTACCAAGTAAAGATTTTGACAATACCAGTTTTTATACACAGCGATAATTGCCCCTTTATCTTCTTTCTACAGTTATTTTGGCAGGCTGCTATGTTTTTTTCTTACCTGTCACTGTCAAACTCCTCAGGATAAAGCTCCTTGAAGCCACTATGTCCCCATCTGTGAAGTGGAACACAATACTTTACAGGATGAGTGCCTTTGTAGCGACTCTGACACCGTATCAAAAGAAACCTTGAAATCAAAAAGCTGCAAAACATATTAGTCATGAAGTCTACATGTACCTGTCAGGATCAGTGGCCTCAAATTCATAGAGTTTGCGCGTCCAGTAGCGAGCATCTCTGTCGTCATGCTCCGACACTCGCTCTCTGCCAGCACTCATGTTTCTGGATTGATCTGGCACTCGATCACAATGCATACGTCCCCTGGGATGCAGTTATTATTTATATATTTAATTGCACTGACAATAAAAAAAGAAAAGCTCCCAAATACAATTTCTAAACTTGTTTCAGAACAATATTGCATACTTAACTATGACTTTGAGCTGTCAGTCCTTCTGTAATTAAACATATTTTCAGGGTGGATGGATAGATGATACTAAAATCAATTATCAAATTGCATAGGGACCTTTTAAAAACTAAAAACAAAACAATAGCTTCTAAAGCTATAGCTTCTGTTTAGATGGCTAAATCGCACTGGGATATTTCCTACACCTACCTCCCAGTGTCTGTGTTTTGTTTGTGGTCTGACATCTGGATCTCCCAGCCTCGCATCTTCCACATCTCTGTCTCCTCTTGGATCTGCAGTGAGTAAAACAATATGTATATGTATGTATATTCATGGAACATTTATTTAAAATCACAAATGACAGCAGGTATGCTCAAAATATTTCCCTATGAAAGAGCAACCTCATTAATAGTGTATAAATAACAAGTAGGATTCATTTGTTGTACTGTTTATTAAAACAAACAATATATAAATATTGCACTAAAATGGTGGTATCGGTATTGGTGATATTTTGACAGCCAAAAGATTAAACTATTGCCACCAATTCCAGTTAGGCAATAAAAAGTTCCACTGGATTAATTTTGTATTAGTATTAAATATTTTAATATAGAACGCACCAGCTCAGATTATTTTTTTTTTGTTTAATCAAATTTAACAACCTTGATGCTGCCAATTGTATATTTTCAATGCATTTAGAAACATTTCAGACATAAAACCACTTCAGAATTTTAATGTAGATGTTATCAATTTCAGCTCAGCTGAAAGGAGGTCAGAGGTTTTCAATCCACTGAAAAGTTAAACTCAGTATTATGTCCAGTGGAGAGACAACAGAAACTTGGGCAGATTTAAACACAAAGATATTCCTCTGTTACTGTGAGCTGCTTAGCATGGCAATTACAGGACAATTCTTTGGACTGTTTTGCTACTGAAAAGAGATTTCAAGGTCAACAGCAGATAAAAAATAAATAAGGTGAAGTCCTCAAGATTCTTTTTTCAATAACGGCATATCTAGAACTCTAAAGATGAGCGCAACACTTTGACACTGAGGATTAAAAAAAAACATGTTCATATAGGGGTTTGGGAACAGATTTTGCCCCAACCTTAATTTCATCAAATAGTATACAATTAATGTTTGAGCCCTTTTCCTTGAAATAACATGAACATCGAAGAACTGTAGTAAAAATAACTCTGTTGTGTAGCAGTAAGCTGTTATTTTGCTCAGCTGAAGGTGCGGATTGGTGCCAGGTGAAAATGACTGGCACAGCTGCTGCATGTTGTCTAAGCAGCTTCTCCTATGATATGCAGTTGCATGCTGGGAAATGAGAGCTTGTCAGAACAAGTGACACAGGAGCGCCATCCACCTTCCAGCCAGCATCAAATTATTTCTGAGAAGTTTTCTCTTTTTGCAAAGCTGCTGTGAGCTCTCCACTGCTCTGGGCAAACTCATGGATAAAGTGGGTTGTGATGAGTCTCTGTTAAGAATAACGTCATTTTTAAAAGCATTCATCAAATGCATTGATCATTCTTGACAGACTGTTTTTTTTCCCCCACTCATGATGGTGATGGCATCAGTTTTACGTAACCTGTATGTATTTAACATTCTTAAAGAATATGCATAATACAGCAGTTAAATCTCAATTTTAAAATCTTCAGAGTCAGTCATTAGCATCAATAAATGTATCTTTCAAAAGATAAAAATAGGAAAAAGAAAAAAAAAGGGTATATAGTTCAGAAGTAGGGCTGGGTAATTAATTGCTGTTGGTCACATTTCATTTAAAAGGAGTAAGTAACTAAATGTATCACTCCAGCCCTGTAGGGGGCAGAAATATGCTTAATGTGTGTTTGCAACCACACAGATGGGAGGAGAGAGTTGCAGCTATCCTGCCATTTCATTCATGCAATTACGATTTAGCCCTTTTTCACAAGAGGGTTACCATGAACAAGCACAATTTAAAGGCCAGGAAAAAACTAAAATCTGGAGTGAAACATTCATAAGCTTGTGCTTAGTGCAAAGAGAAACAGAAATGAAAATGCAAAAATATAGAAATAATCGCAATTTTCATTTTAGGGTAAATCATTCAGCCCCCTTAAGAAGGCAAAGATAATGTGTACCCTTATCGAAATTTTATTTCCTTGTTTTTAGAAAAGTATGATTTATTGGGTTTCACAGCTCAATTTAATTTTTCCTTGCAGTTACAATTGCTAATCCTTTTTAGTATGTCTATCTAATTCCCAGATCTATCAACAAAATACTACGGTTTAAGTTAGACAAGGCAGTGAATTTCTCAGAACAACAGTTTTAAAGTCTTGTCATAAATTCTTAGTTGGACTTAGGTCTGAACTTTGACCAGGCCTTTTTTCTTTTTTTTTTTTTTTTTGCCAGAGTATGGTTTAATCCAAACCAGTCAATGGTCTCTCTTGGTGTCTGCTTTAAAAAAATGCTGAATGGCTGAATGCTAAAATTCTAACTCCCCCCTCCCTTTTTTCTCTTACATTTAGCTCCTCCCATATTTCAGTCAAATCTGAAGAGTTTTCTTCCTGCTGAAGAGAACATCATCAAATCATGATGCTTCTACCACCATGTTTAACTGTGGAGATAGTGTGTTCAGAGTAATATAAAGTGTAAGTTTTTGGTTACAAAGATGCTTTTTTTCAAAGTTTTATTTTAGTGCGAAAGAATAACTTTAACCATCAAGCGCTGGTGTCCTTACTTTTGTCTTATTGGTCAAACCCGAAAACATTGGATAGATTACATCCTCAGCATGAAGATAGATTCTACAAAGTCCTAGTAATGGCTAGTGTTGTATAGATATCCATACCAGTATCGGGCAGGGCCCCGATATTGCACTAAAATGGTGGTATCGGTATTGGATATTTTGAGAGCCAAAAGATTAAACTATTGCCACTAATTCCAGGTAGGCAATAAAAAATTCCACTGGATTCATTTTGTATTAGTCTTTTTCCTCCTTCCCAAAGGTAGGCAGCAGCTTGACAAATATTCTACATCCAAGCAGTATGCAATTCTTCATATAAACACACACATCAATTTCAAACAGATGGTATCGGTATGGTAACGGCCGATACTGCACAGCCAGGTATTGGGTATCAGTATCGAGGCCAACAAATGGTATTAGCACAACACTAGTAATGACATAATTATTTGATTAAGGTGTGTTGAAGCAGAGATGATTTTTATTCTATTAGAAGCAGTTACAATACGTTAGATTAGATTAGATGAGCTTTATTGATCTCACAGCGGAGAAATTCACTCGTCGCATATTGGCATAGAAGTTACAGAAGGTGCAAACAGGGAGGAAAAAGGTGCATTAGCATTAGCATATTAGCTTACAGTATCACTTAGCAGTAGAGGGCACTGGGCCCTAGTTATAGGTACAAGATCAGTGGCTCTCGCTGAAGCCACTGTTGACCACTGCTAGTGAAGCCACACTGTACATTGCGGTTGGTGGTGTTCAGACTTGTGATCGCTAACTCGCTTATTTTGCAGATGAATTGTAGTGCTCGATATTCAGTGACGTAGACAGCATCTCCCTGTGCAACCTCGTTTTCAAAATTCTGTTGTCCGATTGCTACAAGCACTGTTATCGATCATCCAAGTTTTACCTCAACTTTGGCCATTCAAACCTAATCAAAGGTTAGTAACTTCTTCTTTAATAGCATATACTCCTTTAAGACCATATATTTTACTATAGTTTATTTATGTGAAGTTTGAGCATGATTTGACAATTCGCACATGGTTTCCTTGATTCTGCAAAAAACATTTCAGATTACTAAAATAGTGTCATCGCTTATTTTACTGTACAAATCAAATCAAATGTTTTCCTAAGAAAATTTAACCCCCTGAAAATTGATCTTTTAATTGTTAATTAGCATGAATTACTTCATTGGAGAAGTTCAGATTAACTTTGCAGATATATAATATTAATAGGTTAATTCACAAAAGGTTATGGAAATAGATTTTAATCTCTCATACTGCATATTTTGCACATTCTACTATGTCGGTAGATGGCGATAAGTTATTACAATTGCTGAATTATTTAAAAAATCATGTTTTTTACTTTTCATTTAGAATTGAGAAAGTAAATTATACAACTTATAAGTCCTGAAAATTTCAATGAGCTATGATCATTATTTCTGAAGTTATAAGCAATAACTGGTGAAAAGTTTTTAAGGATAGTCCTATAGCTTTAATATTAAGACAAAGGCCTAATTAGCCCCTCGATTTTTTTATTTCAAATTCTGATAACTGCATTAATATTTAGCTTAAAACAATAATCTTGGTATCATTTTAAAGCTCTTGGGNGCTGGTGTCCTTACTTTTGTCTTATTGGTCAAACCCGAAAACATTGGATAGATTACATCCTCAGCATGAAGATAGATTCTACAAAGTCCTAGTAATGACTAGTGTTGTATAGATATCCATACCAGTATCGGGCAGGGCCCCGATATTGCACTAAAATGGTGGTATCGGTATTGGATATTTTGAGAGCCAAAAGATTAAACTATTGCCACTAATTCCAGGTAGGCAATAAAAAATTCCACTGGATTCATTTTGTATTAGTCTTTTTCCTCCTTCACAAAGGTAGGCAGCAGCTTGACAAATATTCTACATCCAAGCAGTATGCAATTCTTCATATAAACACACACATCAATTTCAAACAGATGGTATCGGTATGGTAACGGCCGATACTGCACAGCCAGGTATTGGGTATCAGTATCGAGGCCAACAAATGGTATTAGCACAACACTAGTAATGACATAATTATTTGATTAAGGTGTGTTGAAGCAGAGATGATTTTTATTCTATTAGAAGCAGTTACAATACGTTAGATTAGATTAGATGAGCTTTATTGATCTCACAGCGGAGAAATTCACTCGTCGCATATTGGCATAGAAGTTACAGAAGGTGCAAACAGGGAGGAAAAAGGTGCATTAGCATTAGCATATTAGCTTACAGTATCACTTAGCAGTAGAGGGCACTGGGCCCTAGTTATAGGTACAAGATCAGTGGCTCTCGCTGAAGCCACTGTTGACCACTGCTAGTGAAGCCACACTGTACATTGCGGTTGGTGGTGTTCAGACTTGTGAAATCACTAACTCGCTTATTTTGCAGATGCATTGTAGTGCTCGATATTCAGTGACGTAGACAGCATCTCCCTGTGCAACCTCGTTTTCAAAATTCTGTTGTCCGATTGCTACAAGCACTGTTATCGATCATCCAAGTTTTACCTCAACTTTGGCCATTCAAACCTAATCAAAGGTTAGTAACTTCTTCTTTAATAGCATATACTCCTTTAAGACCATATATTTTACTATAGTTTATTTATGTGAAGTTTGAGCATGATTTGACAATTCGCACATGGTTTCCTTGATTCTGCAAAAAACATTTCAGATTACTAAAATAGTGTCATCGCTTATTTTACTGTACAAATCAAATCAAATGTTTTCCTAAGAAAATTTAACCCCCTGAAAATTGATCTTTTAATTGTTAATTAGCATGAATTACTTCATTGGAGAAGTTCAGATTAACTTTGCAGATATATAATATTAATAGGTTAATTCACAAAAGGTTATGGAAATAGATTTTAATCTCTCATACTGCATATTTTGCACATTCTACTATGTCGGTAGATGGCGATAAGTTATTACAATTGCTGAATTATTTAAAAAATCATGTTTTTTACTTTTCATTTAGAATTGAGAAAGTAAATTATACAACTTATAAGTCCTGAAAATTTCAATGAGCTATGATCATTATTTCTGAAGTTATAAGCAATAACTGGTGAAAAGTTTTTAAGGATAGTCCTATAGCTTTAATATTAAGACAAAGGCCTAATTAGCCCCTCGATTTTTTTATTTCAAATTCTGATAACTGCATTAATATTTAGCTTAAAACAATAATCTTGGTATCATTTTAAAGCTCTTGGGTCCCTTATTCTTATAATGTAAGTCTTAGTCATTTTAAGTAATATTGAATGTTTTTTGTCACATGCCTACTAGTTAAGTTTTAATATTCCTCTAAACAAAGTCTTTTCAGATTTAAAATTTTAAACATCCCCTGATATTAATAACATGCTCATGCAAAATAAGGGGCTAGACAAAGTTTATTGTTTTGCTAAAGCACATTACACAGATGGGAGGGTGAAAGACTTTCTACCAGTTTGATTACTACTGCAAATATACATTTCTTTATAAAAAAATAAAATAAATCCAACATCCAATTGCTTTTATTTGATTTACCCTAAAACTGTCAGCAAAAGCAGAATTGCTTATAGATATTTTATACTGTGTTTTTCTTCTTCCTCTCTTCCTTAAACAAACCCAGGAGCCATACACACCTTATTGTGAGCATCTGTGTGTCGGATGACGTTCCTCAGCAACGTCTTTCCGAGCGGTTGCTTTGACATGGCGACACCTGACGACAGATGGATTTCCATTAAACACACCCGGTATTCAGAGAATGAGGAGAAACAGACATATTTCCATCAACAGATTATCCTAACAACCATCTGTTAGCTTTGCTTCTCAGCCAACACTGATAAATCTTAAGAATACCACTTTGTTTTTAAACACCACTATAAGTAAACCACATTTATCCGTTAAGCTACTCAAACTTCCTTAAAATGCCACGAATATACACACACTGTACCTCTTAAAACTCAGCAGCACTCGAAAGGAAGGAAATAGCTAAAAGTATTTACTTCCGTAGCGTCACTAAAGCGTCATAGAAATTGAACGATGATTGGACGAACGGCTTGTCCGTCGTCAAAATGGCGTTTCATGACGGAACAGAGCCAATGGCAGTTGTTTAAAAAGATCGAAACCTAAAAGACTTAAAGGGAAAGTACAAATAAATTCTACTTGACGTCTAGAGTAAGTTTATTCCTTTTCAAAATAAATATTTCGGACCACTCAAACTTCCTTGAAAAACAGCCATTAGATTTTGTTCATTTACACTATTACACAAATAATTTCAGTTTTCATACATATTAAACAACCCCAACACAATAAAAAACACTAAAAAGGTTCATTTTTAGATAGATAGATAGATAGATAGATAGATAGATAGATAGATAGATAGATAGATAGATAGATAGATAGATAGATAGATAGATAGATTTGTATTCAATTAAATGATCAAGAAACATAATTTGAATTGAGAAAGCTTCCTGGAGAGGTGGCGAAACGTCTTCAAATCTTGAAAACCAAGTCCAGTGGATATTTTTTGAATTTTTTTGAATTTTTACGGAATGACTATGACCTGGATGACTGAGAACCTTCATCAGCATAAGAAACATAACATTTAAATTCTTGACATCCTCTCTTTCTGGGCAGTAATTTTGATCCAACATGAGATGTTACAGGACATGAAGGGATAAAAGGTGTTTCATTTTTAAATATGACTGAAATCAAACTCTTTGGCAATTTCCCAATTAAGGGTTAATTAAGGGTTAAATATTATAACAATATGCAAGAAATTTACATATACCAGAACTGACTGATCTTCCCTATTTGTTTTTCAGAATCTGGCTATAATCAAACAGAAAAAATAAATAAATAAATAAATAAATAAATATAAATGACTCATATGAGTCATTTATATTTATTTTTTGAGTCAACAGATCGATGAGTAAGATAATGATCGAAAACAGAAAACAAGGCAAATTCAACAAATCAGTGGCTCAACAGACAATTTGCCATCTTCCACAGTCATATCCCCTCTGAAACTTCAATCATATGAAACTCTGTGACTTTAACTAAAAAGAAGTGAGCATAAGATTAAATGTAGGACTCCAGATGAATCAAAAACTGTACAAAGAGGAATTATCAAAAAATCTCAGCATACTCAAGCAAAATATATATAACCCACTGTTGCTTTAGAAAAGTAGATCTGATGATGTACTGGCACTGTCTCTTTCAGCAGGGTAAAGGTCCCAAATATGTGTCCAGATTAACACAAGACGATTTACCGGACAGAAAATGACTCGCTCTGATGGTCATGTCAGTCTCCTGACCTAGATTCAATAGAAAGGCTGTGGAGAGAGTTGAACAGAACTGAGAAAAAGAAAAGTGAAAAATCTAGAGAAATTGTGTTAAACAGAAGGATTAGTCATGCATTCTGCCTTTATCATACTGTGTTATGCTCTGACAAAAATGGGTCTGTAAAAGTATAAACTTCAAATTTTTGCCTTCACTGAATTAATGTATTAAAATTTGAGGCACAGTATTCTGCATTTTTCAGTATCAGATTATACTACTGCAATAGAAGCTGAATTGTGAGGCTCTTTGTATTACTTTTATTAGGTGTGCACATCAACCTGAATAGTTCATATTTAATCATAGGAAAGGATCTAAATACGGAACAGTTCACAGCAAATAGCAGAAACAGGGACGTGTCCTGGTTTTAAGTGGGGGAATTTAAAGGAGAGAGCCTGCTGTGTAGGATCCACAAGGGGAAAAAACTGAAGGGCAGAAAATGGATTTTTCTATTTTAGAAAACAACTGTAGAAAAAAAAATAGGGAATGACGCTGCAAGAGAACGGTGGTAGAAGTTCAAATGAGGCACATTCCGCTGTGAAACAAAATGAAGATAGTTTAATTTAGCGCTGACAGTAAATAAAACTGTGCTGATTCAGTTATTACACTGTATTATTTGTATCATGAAATTAGTGTCACAGATTTCCTGTAATGAAGTCATAAATGCAAACCACTCCATCAGGAGATTTAGAAAATGAGAGTAAATGTTGCAAATTTTCACAAACGCAATGCTCTATGGCATTTCTCCAGCACATTGGGAAGAAAGCAAAATATGACCAAAAAATGACCTGCCTTCTTCCTCATACTGAAAACCAGTGGGCACTGTCAACATTAGGGTTTTAAAGACAGGGAAGCAATTGCGTTATAAATAAAGCTATTTTGCGAAGGTCTCTAAGGTTCGTTAAAGATTAGTAAGCCTGTAACTTTGGGGTTATAAACATTAAATCTTTCAATACATGGTGGAACTCTTTTGAGTCTGTCATCTGAAAGAAGAGCGTGGCATTAGTGAAAACGTGCAAAACATGACCTTCCAACTAAACACGATGAAAGAATTTGTTAAGATCATATTTGGTTAAGCATTGCACAAACTGCACAAACCTATACTGTATTTTTTTGCCCAGTAGAAAGGCAACAAAACACATTTAAAAGAAATCTTTAGAATGTATATTTTTGATACTAGCCAATGCCATCTATAGGACACAACAAAAACAAGAAGATGCCAGTCAGATGAGACTACAAGTGAACTTGTCAGCCTGCATGCAGAATCCTATTTGTGGGAAACTCGCTAACACAAATTCTGACAATGCAGCATCATCCCATAGGGATATTATTTTTCAGCAGTGATGGAGAATTTGGGAAGATGTGAAAGGAAGATGGATGTATTTATAAATGGGGCAATGAAAACCTTTTAGGGGCTGCAAACCATTTGAAATCCAGCTAAAACCCATTGAGCTTTATGAAAGCTCTCTTTGTCCGTTCTTGACCGAAACCTGACCCAAATGAAGCAAAGTTTCCTCTGAAAGCAGGTACTCAGTGTAACCTACTTTTACTAAACTACTCCCCTCAGTGGGATCCACATAACACTACATGAAGTGGGCTCTCTGAGGCTCAGACAGCGCTCATCTAAAACGCTACATGCTAATGAAAAGCAATTAAGTAAATTTATTTGCAGACAACATACAAACAAGATGGATTAATTTGTGCAAAACAAATAGGTTGTAGGCTATTTAGGCTGTCTTAACTGTGATTGGAGGCTTTTTATAAGTCACAAAATGATGTGCGTAATTACTCTGTAAACTACTTAGGGGTTTTATCTAAGTGATTTACATTGATGTTTCTTTTGATTCAGATTGGGTATGTTCCTACGTCTCCTGGTAAATCAGGTTGACTGTTGACTGTTGAAATATACTCTTAACTAATTTTAGAGGAAAATCTTACAGTCATGTGTCACATTTTGTTCTGAAATCAGAGCTATCAACCTTATAACTAGGTTTTAAGCTGTAGTGACAAAGTCTAGCAAGATATAAAAAAGGCTTATTTTTGATAATGTGGTATGAAAGCTACAGCAGCAGGCAATATTGTTAAGTTTTAAGATGATATTTTCAAAACACCCATTCATTTCATAAGGATTTGTTGGGTAGTTAAAAATGGGTACCAACTTAGTTATAAAATAACTATAACAAAGAAAGGATTTGAAACGGTTCACCTTATCTGTTCCTGTTTGTCTGTATCATGATCCTGGGGAGAAATATCAGCTGGGCTCCTGCCATCAACACCTTTGGCCAAATATGATAGAGTTTGGCCCCTTTCTAGGTGTTTAGTCCTGTTTCTTTACTAGAATTAGCTATTATATACACTCACCGGCCACTTTATTAGGTACACCTGTCCAACTGCTCGTTAACACTTAATTTCTAAGCAGCCAATCACATGGCGGCAACTCAGTGCATTTAGGCATGTAGACATGGTCAAGACAGTCTCCTGCAGTTCAAACCGAGCATCAGTATGGGGAAGAAAGGTGATTTGAGTGACTTTGAATGTGGCATGATTGTTGGTGCCAGAAGGGCTGGTCGGAGTATTTCAGAAACTGCTGATCTACTGGGATTTTCACGCACAACCATCTCTAGGGTTTACAGAGAATGGTCCGAAAAAGAAAAAACATCCAGTGAGCGGCAGTTCTGTGGGCGGAAATGCCTTGTTGATGCCAGAGGTCAGAGGAGAATGGCCAGACTGGTTCGAGCTGATAGAAGGGCAACGGTGACTCAAATAACCACCCGTTACAACCAAGGTGGGCAGAAGAGCATCTCTGAACGCACAGTACGTCGAACTTTGAGGCAGATGGGCTACAGCAGCAGAAGACCACACCGGGTGCCACTCCTTTCAGCTAAGAACAGGAAACTGAGGCTACAATTTGCACAAGCTCATTGAAATTGGACAATAGAAGATTGGAAAAACGTTGCCTGGTCTGATGAGTCTCGATTTCTGCTGCGACATTCGGATGGTAGAGTCAAAATTTGGCGTCTACAACATGAAAGCATGGATCCATCCTGCCTTGTATCAACGGTTCAGGCTGGTGGTGGTGGTGTCATGGTGTGGGGAATATTTTCTTGGCACTCTTTGGGCCCCTTGGTACCAATTGAGCATCGTTGCAACGCCACAGCCTACCTGAGTATTGTTGCTGACCATGTCCATCCCTTTATGACCACAATGTACCCAACTTCTGATGGCTACTTTCAGCAGGATAATGCGCCATGTCATAAAGCTGGAATCATCTCAGACTGGTTTCTCGAACATGACAATGAGTTCACTGTACTCAAATGGCCTCCACAGTCACCAGATCTCAATCCAATAGAGGATCTTTGGGATGTGGTGTAACGGGAGATTCGCATCATGGATCTGCAGCCGACAAATCTGCGGCAACTGTGTGATGCCATCATGTCAATATGGACCAAACTCCCTGAGGAATGCTTCCAGCACCTTGTTGAATCTATGCCACGAAGAATTGAGGCAGTTCTGAAGGCAAAAGGGGGTCCAACCCGTTACTAGCATGGGGTACCTAATAAAGTGGCCGGTTAGTG